ACAAAAAAGCCTAAAGATGTTGCTAAGAAAATTCTGTTATTTTTTTCAGATAGAGTTATGTTTCTCTAAATTTTATATTTTCATTATAAATATTTATTTAACAAACTAGACCTTTTAGAAATTAATCCAATTTTTACAAATTAGTTGCCCGTTAGTTATGAGCTTAAATGCAGGCTAAAAATTTTGCTAAAAAATTGCAGACAACTATAATAATTACAACATTTGTTTGTCAATTGTTTTTTATTTCTCAAGATTGAATTACAATCTGTTTTTAAAATACAAAAAACAATTAGTAATTAAGAATGACAATATGCAATGTTATGACCAAAATAGAGTTCATTTAGGCATTTAAATTTTCAAACATAAATTACAAATATCAAATCAATTACAATTGAGAAGTTGCGCATTACATTATATCTCATTGTTATTTATTCAATTATCGATTACACGTATAATTTAAAAAGATTAAAGATATCAAAACTACCTATGTAATTGAACATAACGAATCAATTTATGATTCCTTGTGTAGACATAAAAAATTAATTTGGCGACATAATTATATAATTGTCCATGTGTTTTATAATACATAACGTAACTGGTAAACGCAAATAATATAAAAGAAATTGATTAAAGATATGCAAATTACATATTGCTCTCATTTTTTCTTTTTGCCATTATTTAATAGAAGCGAAATGCGCGAAACTAGTTCTAATTGATCGACATCAATTTTACTTTCTTTATGACGAACTAAATAAATAAGAAAAATGTTACATATCTTGATATGTGTAATTCAATCATTCATATGTGCATCTGGAAGCGGATCAATTAATATTAAGAGTAAGTCGATAAGAAAGTACAGAATTTATATATAATAACATGATCAGGTGGAAAGTTTTAGTATATTTCAACGATGAAAGTTATTATTATACCTTTCATTAATAAACAATCGATATGTCGATCTGATAATAGAGACGTTTTTTATGTGCAAGATGATAAAATCAAATAGCACGTTGTTCAGTCGATTTGGTTTTTTAGTTTAAAATCTATTTTTTATTTCTAAGTTACAAAATTAACATAAACCTGTACCACACGATTACGATTCTTGGAAATGAATATTGTTAAAGTATCAGCGAAACCTCACATTGAATATTGATATAATAATTTTAACATCCATGAAAATTTACAATACCGAGCGTAAATCTTTTAGCCAACCTGCGGATTAGCGGTTGAATAATGAGCAGCATTACCTCAAAGTAGAAGTAAATCAATTTCTAAAACGATTTAAAAAACAATAAAGTCTCCACAAACAGCTTATTTTGAAACGTACCACAGAATATGAAAAATAGTGTTTTCTAATTCAAGTTTTAGATAAAATCAGTGTGTTAAAATTGGAAATTAAAATATTAAATTAAATAGTTTATTTGAAAACTTTACGTCCCAAATTTGGTAAATCAACGGCAAAGAAAATTTACATGATTACATCAATATCTTTCAAGATCGTCAAAATAATGTCATATAATAATGCGACATATACAAATTTATGCCAAAATTTATCCGCAACCGGAAAAATTATACAATTTTGTAATTACTAAATACGCAATTTATTTATTCTATTCTGAAAAGAACAAACACCTCAATATTTCATAATCTTAAGTAGAACAAACGAATTAATTCATATTTTGACACTTTTATCGCGGATTTGCTTCTGAACATGGTTTTGATCCATATAGATAACATGTTATATAAGTATAGAATTAGCAGAGCAATTGGAAAGCGGATATATCTTTTGTACAAGTAGGCAAATTGAGCTAAAGCTACGATTAAACTAATAGCTGGTGTAAATTTTATTAAAAAATAATAATAAAATTAAAATAATAGTTTTAAAATTGTAAATCTAAATAATGGTATTTATATTATACTAGCCAACCCGACGAACTCCGTTCCGCCACCAGTTAGTATCGTGAGAAAGATGAAGATGAAAGAAATGTTTTGTTTGTTTTATATTTGAAAAGAAAAAATTTGATTTTATTATACAACAGTAATGATTTTATTTCGATTACAAAAATGAAGTGTTTTTGAGTTGAACTTCTCTAAGTAAATGAAAGTGAATCCGCAAATTATCCGCCTCATTGAAGTGCTCTTTGGTAAAACACATTTTTTTTATTTTGGTCTGACGTTAACACAAACGAAGCGGATGGTTTTCCAACTTGTGAACAGGCAACGTATAACTGCCCATGTGAAAAACAATGATTTTCTAAATAATCTATTTGAAATTTATCCCGCAAACACTAAGCGATTGGTTATATTGACATATTGATAATATGAATGTTCTTACCAAAAACAGATCAGTTCAGGATTACCAGAATGCGCCCAGAATTTTTCTAAATTATCTTTTATATTCTATTTACCCCCCGATTGTCCCAAATTTTTAAAAAAGTTTTTATTTTCAAAAAGAAAGAGTGTACATATGTGAGGGAGTCCATCATTCACGTGAGGCTTTTAGGAGGAGGGGGGTGTTTGACAAAAAATCACGTTGGGGGAGGGAGGGGTCTAGTAAGATATCATGTGTAATCATTTTTCACCTGATTTTAAAAAAAAATCCTAACATTTTCAAAAAAGATACGAATTTTTCGTAAATAAAAATACACGTGATGTTTTGAAGGGGGAATCTAGAAATTCCTAAAAAATCGATCGCGTGATTAATGGATCCCCTATCATAATTCGCAAAGTGAGATAAACACACTAAAAGCAATGTTACTTAAATTAATAATGAAAAAATGCACAAAATTTCATATAAAAATGTTAAAATAAAAATATAAAAATCAAGAAAGATCACAGTTCAGAAAAATATTGTACTAATTGTAGTATCCTTGATCATTAAAACTATTATCCTGATTAAAAAAAAACTCATTTTTATCATATAATTAAATAATAGAAATTCTAGTTCTAAGTAATTATTTTTAATATACTGAAGATATAATTGTAGAGATTATTGTATGATCATTGAGTAAAAATTTCACAGATCAATCAAATTCATGCAGCAGCTACATGTACATCACATTTCAATAAATATTATATGCTTATTTATATTTAAGATTTTAATTATTTTTTTTGAATAATTGATCTCCAATCCCTGTATTATGAGATAGATAGGTATATATTATAATAAATTCACCGCTATGAAAGAAATACTTTCGTTGGACTTGGATAATGTTGTGTTCCGCCGTGCATAAAACGCGGGAAGGCCAATGACACGACGTCGCACAATTTGCCATAATGCGTTTTGCTTTCCGACGTTGATTTGCTATTGTCTTTCCTATTAATCAATTTATGACCATAACTCTAACAATCCACTTAGAAAAGGGCCCAAAATAGAGCAAATAGAGAAATTGATACATAATTCGAATAACTGATTTAGATTTTCCTTATTTGAACTCCTTAGCATGGTCTTCTTGAGCTCTTAACATATGGATAGTTTCATATATCATAACTGATGGAAAAGACCAATAATGATCGAAATTTAGTAAATAAAGACTTATTGTAAATTTACAAAAAAATATGTAATTAAATTTATCAAACGTAGATAAGACCTTTGAAACTTGATAAAATTATTTGTAAAACATTATTGATTCATACAATTTAATTGCAAGGAGTTTATAAATAAAAGTTCCGAATTTTAATAGAAAATTACTTGATGAATTAATCAATAAATAAATAATTGTTACAACCTATAAGCTTCCATAATATATACTAGATAACTACAAATATATAGAATAAATCGAAGGTTCAGGATTTTAATAAAACTTCACTTCGCGTAAGGCAATACTTAATAAATCTGTAGCTGACATTCAAGTCCTATATAGATTCCATCAATTACCTTAATTTAATAATTCATTTTTCATCCATTACATCCGATTTACACTTGATCATTATTTAATGTCGACTGAAATCATTGTAGCGATCGAACAGTATTGCTAAAGAGAATATTATTATAGATAATAGAATATTTTTTATTATCATGTTCTTAGCAGTTCTTTTTGATGGAAAATGCAATTTGTATTACTATTTATATTAATTTAATAAAAACGTGATGGAAAGTTATTATTGACTATGAGCAATAATCCATTTGTGTGAGAAAAAACACGTTGACCAATGACTTTTTTGTGTCATTTGTGTACGTTATGAATTATATCAGATATAAAGTAATGGAAAACGGATAAGGAAATAGGAAATTCAATATTTTATAAGCTTTTCTTTATGGAAATACAACGTTTCCGAAAAAATGTACTTATAGTTATACAACAATCTCAGCACCGAGATTTGAATATTGTAAAAGAGAAATTTTTCTCAAAAATTAAGGAATGAATCAAAAATCACCCTAACGAGTTTGTTTAGACTAGTTATGTAATCCATCTGCACTTTTAGACTTAAGAGGGTGAAACTCCTTAAATTAAACAAATAGTTAGAATATACTTAGATTTAAATTTAATTTTTATTATTATTCATATTGATAGTGTTTTTAATATTTCCTACAGCAATATAAGGTCTACTGTAGAATAACATTTTATAATCGATTGTTATTATATTGAAAATAAAAAACACTTTAAAATAAATTTTAAATTTTTCTCCATCACACAATACGAATTTATTTGCGCCTGAATAGTAGTTGTCGCTTAAATTTAAATTAATTTAATTTAAAAAAACTTTAAAATTCCGCTGGTAAGATTATTAAAGGTTTTGTACATCATTTAAATATACTATAGTGCAGTCCAATGCATACTATGTAGGGTATTTTTATTTAAATTATAAGGCACAAGAACTATAAGTATATATAAACATTCAGATTTTTGAAATAATCATATTATTCTTCATAAATTCACATGTTAGAATATGATATAAGTTATTAAAATTTAACACAAATAATATAATAAAAAATAATTTATTCCATACTTTATAGATACAAAATATCAAAAATATCAAAAACCAATAAGCGTTAGACTTTAAAACTTAGTTGGGTGTTTATTAATTTCTTCGAGTAACCTTTTCTCAATACTCGCTATGAGAATTTTATTCTGTCCTAAATTATAACTAACAAATACTTGTTTAGACAGTCGCTTCGATAATCTGTTAGCGATTCCAAGAGAAATGTTATCTGTAGTCTCACCAAACAAAACAGTGCTAACAGGGGCCTTTGAATGCATCGTTAACATCGATAAAGCAATATTTGTCATTTCTTTATTGTTTCCAATATAAATGAATAGACTGTTACTCATTTGAATAACATGATAATGACATATGCAATCATGAAAACTCTCGGAGAATGAATAGAATTGAAAGCTACATGGGACTAACTTTATAGAATTTTCTATATTGCTGTCGTTATTTATTGAAAGATTCTGCAGTGGTTCTTCTACGCCCGACATAATGCTAAAAAATTATATACTATGACATTTGATATTAATATTTCAATTAATAAAAGTACTTATTGTGCAAACTAACCTCAAAATAATTCAATTGATATACAGATCCAAGTACAATATTATGAAAAGTTGTTTGTTGTGTTTTTATTACTGAGAACAGGTTAAACAAGATACTTTATAATTCATACACTATTCATTAAATTAAATGTCAGAAACCAGTTTCATCATTATGTAGCAGAATCAGTAATAAACAATGACAGTTACAAAGCAAAGTCAAGGAAGGTTCAATTCTGAGCTGTCAAAGATACTTGTGAAGTTAGAGCAGATGATACTTAGTTGGCGCCACTATTTGAACGATAATATTTGAATTAAATATAATACATAAATTTTATGTATTGTATTTTATATATATATATATATATATATATATATATATATATATATATATATATTTCTTACTTATTGCAACATAAAGTCTTCGTAAAATTCTGAATAACTATATAATGACATAAAAGCACACCGTAAGACCTAACGTTATCATTTTGATTGCACAAAAAGCTCGAATCCTCATTCCTAAAACTATCTGTTTTACAAGTTAACTAAAGACCGTAACAAAAATGATATAAAAACATTTTGCAACATAGGAACGTTTGCAAATTGTGTTCTACTCAAAAAAAATTCAAACATTAAAACCAAATCCCAATTAGAAAATGTTCTCAGGCAGGGGCGTAGCGTGCCTTGGCGGGGCCCCGTATCAAAATTTGTTTGGGGCCCCCCCACAAGAAGAATTTTTTTTTTACAAAATACATAAAATCAAAATAATATTTATTTATCGCTTTTATTATTTATCTATCTAATTTTCTCTCATTTTCTGAATTTTTCACAAATGATTCCAGATAGGTATTCACTTTCTTTGAATGGTTTTGAAAAATTAAATTATTTAATGATCTTTAAATATTATAAGGATTCTGTCACTAGGCACATATAGGTCTGAGAGACATTTCTGTCCTAATTTTTTTACGTAATTTTTAATTAGTTTCATTTTTAAAAAAAATCTTTGCGATTGCGATTGTAACTGGAAGGGCCAAGAGAAAAATGCATGTTGTTATTTCTTTGGAAAAATGCATCCATCACATTTCTTAGATTTTTTACTTCAAATCTATTTCTAGTATAGAGCCAGTATTTTTTTACTGTAGTTCAGTCGACAGATTTCTGGAAACGTTTATTAATTCTTCATTTCAAAAGACAAATGTTACTATTTACGTCGCAATCTTTATTGGTTTATGAAATTAATATATCCAAACAGCAAATAGTATACACTAAAATAAGATTTTGGGTCTAAAATTCTCTCATCTTGTGATAACTCATCATAATAACGCTTCATTATCTTTTGTCTTTTGTTCTTTGAAATAATTATTGCAATCCATCTTTTTTGCAGAATATTCGACTTCTTTTGCAAACTAATTCACTAAATTTTCATGTTTTAATTTGCACGGTCTATTCAAAAGATTAATAATAAAATGCTAGTTTTTTATAAGTCATTACTGTCATATTGTGAAATTCTAGAAATGAAACTAATAATTTAAAACAGTGAAGAAAGATCTCTGAAAATGATTTAGTTGATCATATTTAGCAAAATCTAACTATTAAACAATTTAAGTAGTAACAAAAACTAATATAAAAATGTTATAAATATAACTATAAAAATTCCAAATTCCAATTTTTGATGAAAAATGTATAAACTGGATTAGTTTTATAGATTTGTTGACAAGAATATTAACTTTTCGGATATGCAAAAATTTACTAATTGAATTGATTGCTAGAGCTTGCAGAAATATTGCAGCAGAAATAAATTCTCTCAAAGCTTACATGTTGAAGTTTAATACCTCTCGATTACAAAAGAAAATGCAAACTGCGTTAAAATTATTCATTTTTTAAAAAAATTGTTGTTTTGCTTTCTGATTGTGCTCATTGGGGGCCCCCTTGGCTCGGGGGCCCCGTATTTTTGATACGGCTGATACGGCGGTAGTTACGCCCCTGTTCTCAGGCCAGAATTATTATTACATTATTTCATTGTTTTGATATAAATAATTCAGGTATCAATCTTCTACATGTTTGATATTTAAATTTTTAATATATTGAATCAATTTTAAATATTTGAAGTAGTCCTTGTCATTTTTTGCTTATATTGAGTAAAATCATTCTTATCCTCATAAACAGTATATATACTCAATTTTTGGTACTTTTCGTCCTGACTTCAGTTTTACAATTTCAATCAAAAACATCATATCTAAAAAAGCAATTAGAATTATATTTACTCTATTTTCTACCGCAGTGGTCGAGGAACCGGGGTAAATTACCACAAATGGGGTAAAAATGGAACTTTTGGGGGTAAAAAGTATGTATTGTTAATTGATATTTATTATTTCCTGACTAGTTGTCCGTATTCGATTAAACTCTCTTACCAAATTAGGAAAAAATATTTGGGGTAATGATTAAAAAGTTTTTCGACCACTGTTCTACTACAAAACTTACAAGTGAACGTAAAATCGATATTTTTTTATGAATACAGAATTTTTGCGGTTTCTAGCGAATTCTATTAATTACTATATGTTTGATAATAAATAATTACAGTTTAATTTAAATTCAAATCTTCTCAATTTCAAGCCCGATTTAACAACTCCAGACGTAAAGTTACAAAAGGCCCTTTGCAAATACATTATATTTGATGAACTAGTTATTAAAATTTTTGATGAGTTATCTTCAAGTATTAGACAATTAGAATAAAGACTATAATTGCATATAGACTAGATTACATAAGTTGCGATTTTCATATCAACACTTTCGTATCAAGTTCGATTCTCATTCTCAAGTAGAATTTGATTTGTTAAATAAATGCATGCAAATTAAAGTTAATTATTCCTTTTTTATTTTTAATGAATCTGCATCGTAATAATAAAATTGTTAATCATTTGCTTCTATGTGAGCATAATTATATTAGTAAAGTATATTATATTCAAAAAGTAAAGGTAATGAAAGCGCTGAATTTAAATTTCCCTTAAAATTAAATACTACGAATTAGCTTAATAATCAAGTTACATCAATATGTTTTCATCTATAAAAAATGTAATAATTTATATTCAGTTGAAATTTATTAATAAATGGTGCTAAGTACAATAAGCCTGCTCGAGTTTCCACGCACACCCTTCAGCGAATTGAATTTGGAGTGGGTGTATGATGATCAAAAAGGGCGATTTGATTACAAAGGGGTCGACGATGGAATTTGTACAATATTGAAGAACTGTCACATCTACAGAGAATTATTATTGCCAGATATCTACAGACAATGGTAAACCGTCATTACATTTACCAAGAGCTGAGTGATTGAATATTTCAATAACGCAATGGTGTGTCAACGAAGGAAGAAATAACATTGTGCGCGCGACTTTTGCAGTTAAGACTACAATTTCCATTTGTTCTTGAATTCCAGTCTCAGTCATATAAAAAGTGAGACAAACGTACTAGTCGATTGATATTACTAATTTTAGCAATGTTATTGAATCGTTGTTTCAAATTGTTGAAAAAACGTTTGATGTCATCGTGATGTTTTATGTCTAAGGTTTTATCCAGCACAAATGAGTGTTATTAGAATATATAGTGCATATAAATTATCTCCATCGTAGAATATTTCCGGAAAATGTGCATGAATATAATCGTCCTCTAAAGCGGCAATTTCAGTTGAAATCACTTCATCCACGCGGCCAAGTGAGAATATCACCCATCGTTTCTCCTGGAATGTTTGTCAATTAAAAGCTCTCTTTCGTTCTCTCAGTTAAAGCTTACTCGGCTATACCAAAAAGCACTAAAGTGCAACTAGTGATGAATACGTTTAAAAATTAACATTATAATAAAGAGAAAAAGCATTAAGAGTAGATCATTAATAAA